GGGGGGGGGAGGGGGGAAGAGAAGACTGTAGGCTTTTACTCTCCATAAATGGATAGGATGGGTCTCCTGAAAAACAGCTTATTGCTCTCTAAATTTACACTGAAGGATTGGCTTAATCCTGGCTACTGTAAAAACAGCATTGCCAGATGATTAACCAAAAATACTGAACACCCCTCCCCAAAAAAATCCCCACTGTTGAGGGGAAGAAAAGGGGAGAAACCAAAGTTGTTGAGCAAAAAAAGGACCCCAACAGTTATTGGGAAAAAATACAAAAAAACAGCACCCTTAAGGATGCCCCCCGTCCCTCCCCAAAGGACCCTGAGAGTTATTAATAAAACAGCATTAAACAGCATGGCCCCTTTAAGAAAAGTCTTTGGGATTTTTGCTGGTGGCCATCTTGTTTTCTTGATCTGAGCCAGAAGGCAGCTTCCCTGCAGAACCAGGTAAGCAGTGGGTCCGGGAACCCGGGAGGAGAGGCGGGGGCTGGGCCTAGTTGCTGAGTGTGTGTAGGGTTGCCAGGTGTCTGGTATTTTCACCTCCTGGAAGGGGGAAAAAAAATCAGAAAATACCAGACATATACTGGAGAAAATACCAGACTATCCAGGTCAATAGTGGATACCTGGCAACCCTATGTAAAAATGCCCCCTACTGAACCACCAGTAATCCTTCCAACCCTTTTAGGCTTTTCCTTGAGCTATCCTATTTAGGTACTAACCTGGCTTAAATCTACCTAATGTGAGGTTTGACTGGTTCACAGTAGAAGATATAGCTTCAGGTATTAAGTGCTTTGTTTAATCCAAAGACACATAGGAAGAATGGTTAAGAAAGATTTCAAAATACATCTTCATGACATGATCATTTTTCCTTGGGCCCTGGAAAAAGACATTTATTAAAGTGGTGAAAGGGTTAATAAAAGTAAGATGTATCCAACAATAAGAAGCCTCCATGGCTTTTGACAGATGGAGGCTCTGTGAGTCTTTCAGGGTATGCTGCTGAGGAAGCTTTTCACTGTGAGGTTATTCTTTCTTGGTTAGATGTGGTAATGCTGATTAAGGCGTTACATAGCTGCCTAGGACTATGTTTCCCCTCTAACCGTAGTGGATTAATGAGTACATTGTAACATGTTCACTGACATCCCAGCATGCAGCTGACTTCTTTGCTGACTGAAAAGTAATTTTGTAAATATACGCAGAGACCATTAGTGCTCATGATATAATTTTAATCAAAGAATGAAGAAATAAAATATTTTGAATGTTTATTCCATTTGTAGTTGTTTAATTACATATATAATTAAAAACCTCTCAGAAAGTCATCTAGTAGAAGGGTTTTGATGGCAAAATAACCATCAAAGAGAGAAGCTGAACATGCAACAAGATAACACTGTCCCTCATCTTGTTTACACGATACACTAATATTTTCTCTAATATATCCCAGAATACTAGTTAATTCTGAAATTTGAAATGTCGTTTCAGGTTATAAAGCTATAAGCATGGATATATAGTCACTTTCACTGAAGATTCATCTCCATTGTGCAATCCTCTATCTCCGGTGATCCCTCAAGTCAGTTACTGAGACCAGGTATTAAGCATGTACTTTAAATGTTTTGCTGATTTGGGGTCTTTTGCATTACCCATCCTTTTAGAAGACAGACACTGACTTTCTTTTATTGTTTTTAGCAGATTACTAAATATATAATTCAGTTTTGCTTATGGCTAAAGCAAGGTCTCTATCACAAATAATTTGTAATAGAAGACATTGATGGCTAAAGCATGTGTTATGAATGGATGATAACCAAGTACCAATTATGGCTCTCAGTTGGAAGCCAGAAAATCCAACAAGAAAGAGCAGTAGACCTAGGATGACTTGAAAGTGTCTGATTATCAATGATGTAGAAAAAATTAATTTGAAAAGGAAGGTAACATGGCAGCTGATAAGCAAACATAGAGAATGTGGGTAGTCCAATGTATTGAAAAGCATGGGATGGACTAAGGTTTAAGGTATACATACCACAAGCCTCCATATTTTAAGCATACACAAGGTTTTCAGTGCAATTTTCTATTTTCTTCAAAGCCTGCCTTTCCCAAGCAACCTAGCTTACATCATAATAAGATGACAATGATAATAAAGTAATAAAATTCTCTATTTAACTGACATACTAATGTTGGCTTCCCAAGGGTTTTCACAGAAATGTCAAAACTCAACAGTGACATTTTCTGTCTATACACAGTAATAATCATGGAGGAAAGCACACTAAATATAATTGATGAGTATACCAATTTAACAAATTGTTTGCTGGTGGGACATCACTAACTCCTCTCGATGGGAAGGGAACTATAATTCAACTTCCATTTTTTGGCTAACACAATACTGAATATAAACACTGAAGGAAAGGGGAAAGAATGTTGACATTTCTCTTCCATTTGCATAAGTGAACATTGGTAATAAAAAGATGGGTTTTTAAAAATATGAACACCATTCTTCTCTTACTTTTTGTGGATCTAAAACGTACAATGATAGTTTTGCTCTTGTTACATTGTAGCATCCACAACTGTACCTGGTTATGACTGAAAAGATCCAAAGGACAGATTCCTATCCCCAAAAGCTTGTAGTCTGAGGTCTGGTCCACACTACATGGGAAGGTAGAAGAAAGATATGCATCTCCACATATGTAAATTATATAACTGGAGTCAACGTACCTTACAGTGCATTTCTGCACTATCCACGCAACAGGAGGCTGATGGGAACAAATGCTTTGTCAGCTTCCCTTACTCCTGGTGAGGAGCAAGAGTACCAGTGCTAACGGGGGTACCTTTGAGTTTGATCTAGTGGATCTATACTATAACTACTCAGTAGAACCCCAGAAGATCGACCGCAGCAGTGTTGATCTTCCATGTAGTGTAGACGTGCCCTGAATGAGCTGGTAAAATATTAGTGGAATCTAATTTATTTTTCATAGAATTTGATATTATCAGTAAAATATAAGCACCTTGCTTGCTACACCTCTTAGCACACTTGATTTTTGACCTGCTCTCCCAGGCTCTTAATTCTTCCCAGACTCTCTCACGCAATTGATTCTGACTCCACACAAATATCCCTCCATACCATTACAGTTTATCTAATCCCACCAAATTAATTCTGTGCTTCTACTTTTTAGATACTTTGCCTGGCTACCCACCCTACCTTTCTTCAGGGCCTTATTCCTTGTTTTTCCTTCCCAGAGAGTACTATTGGCCTATGCATGGGGAATCTTAACCATCTCCCAGTCCAGTGTGGGGAAGCAGTACCAGAGGATCATCGCTCCTCGGGCCTAGAGATACCAGAGAATACGTAGGGAATGCAGCTGAGTTTTCTCTCAGCACAAAAGGCATGAGCACTCCAGCCATCTGCCATTGGAGTGGAGGGGAAGTAGTCTTCCCTCCGCATCTGCTAGAGGACCAGACTGCCCCTCTTCCTTTGCAGTAGCACTGGCTGCCCCCAAACTTTCAGGAGAGTCTGAAAAATCCATAGAGTTGGGCGATGTGCACAGTATCTTATGCTGAGTCTAAAGAGTTTCCAGTTAGAAAACTCCATCTTCACTGGTACATTGAGCATCTGGATGTTATGGAGTTCCATGGAAATTCATGCTGCCCTAACTATAGAATCCTTTTTAGAGTAGAACAGCACATAAGATTTGAATAGAAGAGGTAGCTTTTCCAGATAAGCATTTGTGGAATCTTTGCTTCCCCTCTCTTTCCCCGCAACTCTCCTCTGCCTCCACTCCTCAAATTTCTACAATTACTGGGCAGTTTCATTTCTCTTGAAGAGCTGTAAGGACAACATATCACCCTACATCCAAACACTTCCTGTGTCGCTAATTGTTTTGTTTTAATTTTGGAGGGTAGAGTGAAAATTAGCCAAATTGATCCATCCCTAATATTTGCCTTTAATTTAGTAACTTGACAGTACATTCAAATTCATGTTCCTCATTTTTTTTATAATGAGAACCAGAAAAGCAAAGAGCATTGTGAAATAATTTTGAGTTTAGTCTCTGGCAGCAACATTTTCTCATTAAGTAGCTTTGTTGCTCTTATTCATTTCAATTAAATATCGTTCTTGCTTTATTGATCCATGCCCATGTAATTAATTCACAAGTAAGATGTTCTGAAGTTTGCCTGCTTCCTTATTGCTGGTTCCAGTCAGAGGGTTTTTTTACATGGAAAAAGGGAAGGAACACCAGAATAAAACTTAATTGAAGAACCAAATGCAATTTTGTGTTTTAGAGAGAACGGTATTTGACAGACACAGAAGTCATCAAGCATTAGCTCTTTAACTACATGTGTAAGTACAGGATATATGGCCACAATTTCTATGTCATGTAACTTCATGGCACATGCCTTTCTCATAACAATTGACCATAATTCTTTAATACAAATCTAGTGTCTTATATCTCTCTCTGAACTGGCTCATACATTGACTCAAAACACCCATACAACATGTCAGTTACTTGGGTCTGGCTTTAGAATGAATTAGTTATGTGAGAATCTAACCTCAGAAATTTCTTTTCTGAAGAGAAATTTCAAATGGCTTGATTTAGAGCATCTTAGCTGAAAATAATCTGTGGGACGTCTGACCCAAAGAAATTCTCCTCTCTTCAAAGAGCAGGAGCTGTTTGCATTTTGAGGAATAAAATCCCATCTCTTTAATTCCTGTGCAAATCCTCAGCAGGTTTTTCAATTGTCTTGTACAGACTAGTCTCTCTCACAATTCTTGTGAACACAGAGGCCATTGTGGATTCTTCAGGGCAGAAATTCTAGTTTAGGCCACAATGAGGACTTCAGTATAGAACTCATAGACCAAAGGGTCTCAGACTCCTGGCACATGGGCCATCGCTGGCTGGAGCAATTGTCCAATCCAGCCCAGGACTCCTGTTGTCCATTCCTGGCCCCCAAGTCTTCCTACTTTCCATCATCACCATACCCTCTCCCCCCTTGGTGCCCTGTCTTGGTTTTGGGAATCACCGGGGGAAGGGAAGGCACTGCATGCAAGGCTGGATTACCCAATAGGCAGAGTAAGCATGTGCTTAGGGCACCAGCAAAAGCAGAGGCACCAAAAAAAAAAAAAGAGATTTTTACGGTATAGTATTGTTTTTATTTTGCATTACATATGGGGGGCATCATAATCTTTTCAGTGCTTAGGGCCTCTAAAGGTATTAATCCAGCCCTGACTACATGGCACCTGGGATCGTGATCCCCCTCACTCCCCAGGGTGACAGGAGCTGCAGGGAAGCAGAGTGAGTGCACTTGCCCAGTGTGCCACGCACAGTTCCTGCCACTGTGGAAAACATGGAAGGGCCCTACCACTGCCACCACACAGCACAAGGCTGCTCCCTGATGATCCCCCAAGCTGCATCCTTGGGGCTGGGGAGCCATGGGCTGCGAGTGTATGGTGATGGCAGGAAGGAGCAGGGCTTGGGGATAGGTAAGCTCTCCCCACCCGAGCCTGCAAACTGACTGCATAATTGCTCTATCCAGGGAAGAGTTTGAGACCCCTGTCATAGACCCTTTCAACAAAAAAAGGCTGCTTTTAAGAAACAAAAATGGTTAGCACAACATCTCCATTTTCCTTAGTTTTGTTGAAAAAACAAAATAGTGGAGGGGAGAATGAGACAAAAATGGCAAAATGTTTCTATTAAAATGTTAGTGGATGAAAAAATATTTGACTGTCTCTATTACAGACATCAAGTGAAGATGTGAATGGTGGGAAGTTAACATGGACCATCTTGTTATTCTTTTTCTCATTTCCCGTTTCTTTTCCTTCCAGCTTCGCTCACATATCTACTTCTTCTTTCTCTGAATTCTCATATCCTTTTCTTTTCCTCACTTGGCTTCTCTCTCCTGTGTTTTCTCTCCTTTCTCACAGCTAACAATGATCCTGCCAGTGGCATTGAGAATACTATTAATACTGTTTTTTTCCCTTGGGATACTACCCCTATTTTGGCCATGGAAGAAGGAGCAACACTCCAATCAGAAGTAAACCTGACTGAAAGCTAAATTAACACAGAAAGCATTCCTAAAATGGTTGGGTAGAGGAGCCTTTGAAACAGTGGTGCATTCCTAGAATACGTCTACACAGCAGTATTATTTTGGAATAACTGAGGTTATTTCGAAATAACAAAGTGCACGTCTACACAGCAAGCCATTATTTCAAAATAATTTTGAGATGGAGGTCTTCTTACTCCAATTCCTATAATCCTCATTTCACGAGGAGTAAGGGAAGTTGAAGGAAGAATGCTCTTCCTTCAACTTTCTGCTCTTTAGATAGCACTAAAAGCCAAATTAAGCTACTTCGACTTCAGCTATGCAATTAACATAACTGAAGTTGTGTATCTTAAATCAGACTTTTTCCCTGCAGTGTAGATGTATCCCTAGTAATCATGCAAAAGTTCAAGTTGGATTCTCCATGGACAAAACTAACTTATATTGAAATTTGCCCTGGAAAATTGTCTCCCACACCCAGTATAATGTTTGTGGAGGCATCCACCACTTCTCACCCAGTTTCCATCACCCACTTTCCATGCTGTGTTGGTGGGGAGTGTGTTA